ATCCTACACCATTTCTTTTACTATCCCTTTCTATCCACTGTCTTATGTCTTACTGTTCCATCTTTAACATTGCAGTCCTCCTTTCCTGTACACTTTACTGTCCATCATCACCACTGTTAACTTCATGTCTACAATTTCTTTTCTTCTTAAACTAATGTTTTTCTTTAAAGAGTATTTTTAATGTTTTTTTTTAAAGATTTTATTTATCTTTAGAGGGGAAGGGAAGGAGAGAGAGAAAGAAATATCTATGTATGGTTGCCTCTCGTGTGTCCCCCAATGGGAACTGGCCTGCAACCCAGGCATGTTCCCTGACTGAGAATCAAACCGTGATCCTTTAGTTTGCAGGACCATGTTCAATCCACTGAGCTATACCAGCCAGGGCTTAACTAATGTTGACTGAATGAATCTTTTCCAGTATATATTATAAATCTGAAGATAATTTTAAGAATAATCTTTTTTAATACTTCTTAAAAGCCTTCACTTAGTTATATGTATTTCTTTAAAAGTACTTAAAATGAAAATGTTTTAGGTATTACATCTTAATTTAAGGGAAGAAGATATTCTACCTCTGACATAAATTTGTGCCTGCAATTTATTCTGATTTTCATGAGTCAGAAAAGCCCTGTACTAAGTGAGAAAAAACTGTATATGTGTTTATGCTTTGTTTATATTGTTTTTCTCCATTTCAATTAAGAGCCATAAAGATAGGAATAATTTGCATATTATTTACTGCTATGTCCCTAGTACCAAGAAAAATGTCTGGCATACAGTAAATGCTACTAAATTTTTATTTACAACAAGCACTATAATTGATATTTCTTGATTATACCATCCAATTTAATTTGTACAAAAACTCAATCAGGCAAATATTATTCTGACTTTTCAGAAGAATAAGGTTCACATGATTTAATAATCCAGGGTAGCGTGGTACAAAAAAATGGCAAAACCAAGATTTCAATCTAACTCCTACCTGACTATAAGCCTCTGAATTTAACTGCATTATCTACTCTTCCTCTCACTCAGTTCTAAAAAGTGGGACAAGTCATACAACTCTCTGAGCCGTAGTTCTTTCATTTGTAAAATGGCTATAAAAATGCCTATGCAATCTATCTCACAGAGTTATCATAAGGCTCAGATAACAATGGATGTGAAAGTACTTTTTGACTATAACATGCCATATTAAAACATACAATTAAAAGATCAGTAGAAATAAATGACTATTCAGGGGGAAAGTTACTAAAGAGGTCTTGCTCACTAAAAAAAAAATTGTCTCCAACTTACTAAATATTCTATTTTTTATAGTATTCAAACTTAGTTTCACATTTCCAACAAAGAGAGCAATTTTCTTCAATTAATTTTTTTCTTTTCTTCCAACAAAGTAAGCAAAGACTCACTTTATTGATTATTTCTACCCACTAACCAAATCAGAAACTCATACATATAGTCATAAATGATGGGCTTTATGATAGATATTTTAAAACTTCAGTTTGTCAAATATTTCAGGACTTATTTTTCATCTCACTTCACTAAAGTTAAAAATTCAGAATATATTGTTATAGATGTGAACATTTTTATTGATCAGTTTGTTAGAATAGAAACAAATAAGAGGTGAGGATATGATAATTTCTAATAAATTTCCAAAAAATGTAACTGAACTGGTAGACTTATAGTTTCCTTCCACTCTATATAATGTTTTTAAAAACACTCTCTTTTTTTTTTTAATTTTTTTTATTGATTATGCTGTTACAGTTGTTCTATTTCCCCCTTTATTCCCCTCCACCCTACCCCCCATCCCCACCATCTCCCCCCCTTTAGTTTATGACCATGTGTCTCAAGTCCTTTAGATTCTATATTTCCCATGCTATTCTTGCCCCCCCCATATATTTTCTATCTACTGTCTGTGCTACTTATTTTCTGTACCTTCTCCCCCCTTCTCCTCCTCCCACTCCCCTGTTGCTAACCCTCCTTGAGATCTTCATTTCTATGTTTCCACTCCTGATCTAGCTGTCCTTTTAGTTTGCTTTCATTTGAGGTGTGGTTGTTAATAACTGTGAGTTTGTTGTCCTTTAACTTTTTTTTCTTAGATAAGTCCCTTTAACGTTTCATATAATAAGGGCTTGGTGATGATGAACTCCTTGAATTTGATCTTATCTGAGAAGCACCTTATCTGTCCTTCCATTTTAAATGAAAGTTTTGCTGGATAGAGCAATCTTGGATGTAGGTCTTTAGATTTCATGACTTGGAATACCTCTTTCCAGCCCCTTCTTGCCTGTAAGGTCTCTTTTGAGAAATCTGCTGACAGTCTGATGGGGACTCCTTTGTAGGTGACTGTCCCCTTAGCTCTTGCTGCTTCTAGGATTCTCTCCTTCATTTTAATCTTGGCTAATGTAATTACGATGTGCCTTGGTGTGTTCCTTCTTGGGTCCAACTTCTTTGGGACTCTCTGAGCTTCCTGGATTTCCTGGAAGTCTATTTCCTTTGCCAGATTGGGGAAATTCTCCTTTATTATTTGTTCAAATAAGTTTTCCACTGGTGGCTGTGCCTTTCCCCCCTTCTGGTACCCCTATAATTCGGATGTTGGAGCGTTTAAAGATGTCCTGGAGGTTCCTAAGACTCTCCTCATTTCTTTGAATTCTTGCTTCTTGACTCTTTTCTGTTTGGCCATTATTTGCTTTCTTCTGGTCCACTCCATTGATTTGAGTCCCAGTTTCCTTTTCATTGTTATTGGTGTCCTGTGCAATTCCATTCATTTCAATTAGTTTCGCCTTCATATATTTGTCTAATTTGTCCGTATAATCAACCAGTTCTGTGAGAATCCTGATCACCAATTTTTTAAACTGTGCGTCTGTGAGTTTTGCTATTTCTTCATCGCTTAGATTTATTTCTGGGGCTCTGAGATCCTCCTGCGCCATTCTTGGTCTGTTCGGACCCTTTAAGTGTGAGAAGCGGTGTCTTGGATTCCCAGGTCGCTGGGTTGTGACGCTGTATGTGGGGGCGTGGCCAGAGCAGGGAATTGGTGACCCCCTCTGCCGCTTCTCACAGCTGGGTGCGGAGGAGGAGCAGCGCCTTAGATGGTTCACCTGGGCTGGGCCACTCAGAGTCGCTGGGTTATGACGCTGTATGTGGAGGTGGGGTCAGAGCAGGGAAATGGCGGCGCCCTCCACTGCCGCCTGCCGTGGGGACCTGCAGGCCGGGTCCAACCGCCCACTCCCTCGCCTGTCCACCCTCGCACAAATGCTCGACCTCAGTCAACACGCAGCCCCGGGCCCGGCTGTCTCCCCCGAGGTCGCTCGCCTGGTTGCTCGCTGGGCCGCTCAGTAGGTCTGACCCTGCGCCTGGATTCCGCGGACCTGAGTGTGTCTGGCCGAGTCCTCCTGTGCAACCCTGCTCCGCCAGCCGCTGGTTTCGCCCCTTACTGGTCAGGCTGAAGAATTTGTTGTTAACGGACTTCCGAAAAGTTCAATTTTCCGTGTTCTGGCTGTGTTTTCTGTTGCTAATATTTAGTTTTCTCTAATCTTGGTTGTGGGAGAAGGCACGGCACATCCACCTATGCCTCCATCTTGGCGGAAGTCCAAAAACACTCTCTTAACTATTTATTTTTCATATGATAAAAATAAGATGGGGAAGAGGGCCGACACAGTAGGTTAAATTAAAAATAATAAAACAAAATTAAAATTATCAGTTGAAATTACTAAATGTGCAAGATTTTTTTTTGTAAGTTAACATATTTAGTACCAATGAATAAGAATTGTAAAATTCCAGTGAATCTCTAGCTCACATCTTCCAAAGCTGTAGTATAAGACAGCAAGCAATCTGGCTATGACATCTATCATCCTATAGGTGCTAGGGCTAATTTACTTAAATACAGTTGGTTAAGTGGGTGTTCCCCTCCTTCTTCACCACTCTTTGTTCACCAATTCCCCTTCTGCCCCCCACACCCATACCCACTATCAAAAAAGCTATCAGATTAGTTTTAGAAGCATAGTTTTGTTCCTTAATGGAAAACGTTTTACTCTTAACATTTTATCACTATTTTCATTGGTCTACAGAGAACAAGTAGGTCATTGTGTCTGAAGAAAGTTTTATTTGGCCTTTAAATATGTATATATTTTGAAATATTCTTTAACATCCAGAATATATAAAATGTGTAAAGGGTGACGTATCAATTCATATGTGTGTGTGTATGAATGAGGGTATTTTACCTATATGCTGTTTGATTATGAGTATTAACATAATAAAGACTATATTTGAATTTCCTAAGAATAATAACTGCATAGTCCCATTCCAGAATTCCTGAGAGATTTACTATCTAAGAAGGAGCAAGAATCAGGGTATATTGTGGTATACCTGAGAAGTACCATCTTCATGGTTCCTTTCTTTTCCTGTCTCTGAAATTCTTTATAAAAAGTTGGAAAATAAGTGATATATAGCCAATGCTGCTTATGAAATCTAGTAAACATCATATATAAATAATTCTAAACAGAATGCTCTTTTAAGACTAACTTGACAAGTCTGCATTAATTTTAATCTCTGTGCGTTTAGCACTGCAGAAATTATGGCTGTCAAGTATATTAGAAAATTTTAACTGAAGAGAAAAATTCAATTTAAGCTATAGAACTTGTTTCATTACACATCAACAGCACAGGGTAGGTCAAGAAAGCAAAGTAAAATAATCAGCTGTGATAGCTCAGATTTAGCATCTTCATATAAATGAATGGATCACAGATGTTGTTTACTCCATTTTAAAAAGAAAAATGCATAAATCAATTGGAGGCAAACTGTAATGATAAGGAATATAATACCTAAAAGTGATTTTTTAAAAGGTCATGTTGAAGCTTTGAACAAATCACAGAATGAAGAGTATTTTATTTTAGTTCCTTCTTCATTTCACTTTTAGCTGAATGTCTAGGTACTATTATCAAATGCTGAATCACCAATCAATTTTTCATTTGTGAAATAATTCTCAAAAGAAACAAGTATTATGTAAACTCCTGCTTTACCTTCATGACATCTCTATATGAGCAGATAGCTGAGATTTTTTTCTTTTCATCTTCTTCATCTTCCAGGCCTTCATCTGCAGCCTCATAACCCTCATCATTGCTGCCATCTGCTTCTACCGTGTTGGCCATGTGATCAATGAGTTGCTCCAAGGGAGGACTTAATTCTCTTTCTTCATTCTCCTTCAAACCATAGTCCAATGCTTTATAAATAATAATTCCCAATGATTCAATAACCTAGAAATATTTAAAAAAGAGTTAATGGAAATGACTAAACATTTTACAGTTCTAGTTGTCTTCAACTGACTGGATGAAGCCTACCCACATTAGGCAGGGCACCCTGCTCTGCACAGTCTACCAATGTAAATGTTAATCTCATTTAAAAACACCTTTAGGAAACACCCAAAATAATGTTTGATCAAATATTTTGGTGACCCATGGCTCAATCAAACTGACTCATACACTTAACCATCACAAGTCCACCCCCTGTCAACTTGGCACTTTGATATAACTCCTTAAAAACTCATTCCTGAAATTAGACAATAACAAGGTCACAATTCCATTTAACACGATACACTATCCTGAATACAACCAAAAATAGACTAAACCCTTCCCCAAAAGATGATCAAAGTCCTTAGGTGATGTTTATTCTTCCTTTGATATCTCATAACTTATATACCAAAAATTGAGTTAACAGTACTTAAATACTATAATATAAAGTCAATATATCTTATGTTACATAATAAGGGGATCTGAGATAGAAGAGAGCAAAGATACTTGAGACACACACAAAAAAATTCAAAACAAAATAAGGAGGAAGTACTCTTGACAATTACAGTCTTTGTTTCTGTAACTGGCCACGTGGTAATAGCTGGTATTTATAACTACTTTCTTCCAATTACCCATTCCATATTCCTTTTGCCTTTAGTAAGCACCTTAGCCAATTGTATTCTTTACCTTGAGGGGTAAACCAAACCTTCATTCCCAAAAGGTCTGGGCTGTTAGTATTCCTGCCTGCACTGGGTTGCAATTTTCCACTGAACTTAATCACAGGGCACAGCTCTAACAGACACCAGAAGGGCTCTCCTATACTACAGACATACTTTTCCTTAGCTCCATTGCAGAGTAGCAGTCCAATTTCCTCTTGGAAACCTGGATCAATCATCCTGGACAGCAGAGAAACTCATTTTTTGACATTGATTCATAGGCATGACAGAACAAAAGTGGCTGGGCGAGATAGTCTTAACTTCTGATTCAGTAGAATCATTGTTTCCTAGTGCAAGCATTCTTCCCTTTGGAATTCAGGCCTTTATGGCAGGAGAGCATAAGCAAAGTCAAAACAGAAAGCAAAAACATTCCATTTCCACCTCTTGATTCCTGGCACTGTGAATCCTGCATATGAGAAAAACAGTACTATATACTACATGACGACTCAGAGCATATAAAGTTTTCTGGAGAACCCTGCAAGGTATTACCATGTAGTAGTCACTGTAACTGAGTCTTTCAAAAGGCCATTCCATCATCTATCAATCAAGACTATGGTTTCAGGATGGTGGAACATTGTGAAGTCCATGAACCTGGGCCCATTGCCACACTTCACTTGGTGTGAAGTGAGTTCCTTGATCAGAAGCAATGCTGTGCACATAGGTCTGTCCAGAAAGTATCCAATCATGTACTATGAAAAATAAGGATATTTACTAAAGAAGATACAAGATAGAAGAAACAAGATATTGACACACAGGACGATAATGCCTCAGTCACTTTAAAGTAGGCACCTTGGGACCTCACACAGTTCTCCTATTCATCATCCCTTGTGGATAACTATTATCTTGAGAAACAGCCCTTAGCTTGCTGCAGGGCAGTAGCGGTGACTGAACACTTAACCACGGGCCACCAGGTTACGAGGCAACCTGAGCTACCCATTATAAACTGGGTATTATCTGACCCTTCAAATCACAAAGTTGGGTGTCTTACAGCAACACTCCATCATCAAGTTGAAGTGGTATATATATGTGATTGGATCCAAGCAGGCTTTTCTTTCTCAGCCTATACCTGTTACTTTATGGAAATTCCTGCAATCAGCTGACAAAAAGGGAGAAGACTCAGACCTTCTGCATGATATGCAGGCACCACTTCAAAGTGGACAACTGCAGCAGTCAGACCCTTTCTGGAACTTCCCTGAAGGACAGTGGTGAAAGGAAATCCTCTCAGTGGGCAGGTCTTTGAGCAATGCACCTGGTTCTGCATCCCGGAAGGAATATGATTGGAAAACTGATGACAAGGACATTGTAGAACAAATATGCGGATATACATCCCTGAATGGGCAAAAAAACCCATTAAGGTATTTGTTTTCCATGTGAATACTCACCAAAGAGTGACCTCTGTGGAGGAGGATATCAATATTCAAGTGGAGAGGATGACCTACTCTATGGACAATGGTCAGCCTCTTCTTCTAGTCACCCTGTCAGCAGAGACCAACGCTGAGACCCTAGTATGGCACTCTTACCCAGGGTGATCAGCCAGCTACCCAGTAGTAGGTGGATTACATTGGACCACTTTCAACATGGAAGGGCAACATTTTTTTCTTACTAGAACAAACTGGCTCTGGATATTAATTTGCATTTCCTGAATGCAATTCTTCTGTCAAAACTTCCATCCATGGACTTACATAATGCCTTATTCACCCTCATGGTATTCCACACAGCACTGGTTTCTTTCTAATTAAAAAGTTTTTAAATTACATTTGACAGATTGTGTTAGTTTCGGGTATACAACACAGTGATTAGGCATTTATATAACTTATTAAGTGATCACCCAGTAAATATACTACCCACTTGACAGCATACATAGTTATTACAATATTATTATTTTTTTAAAGATTTTATTTATTTATTGTTAGAGAGAGGGGAAGGGAGAGAGAAAGACAAGGAAAGAAACAACAACATGTGTTGCCTGTTGTATGCACCCTGCCGGGGGACCTGGCCTGAAACCCAGGCATGTGCCCTCACTGGGAATCAAACTGGAGACCCTTTCGTTCACAGGCTCACGCTCAATCGACTAAGTTACACCAGCCAGGGCTATTACAATATTATTGACCATACTGAGGTCTATCCAGAAAAAGTCCAGCCATTGTTAATCTAAAAGAGAACACTTGCATAACATTAACGTAACCTAGTAGCCAAGGAGTAAACTGCAATGTGCATGTGGGAACACTGACTTCACTGTACTAGTCAGTAGGAATGGTAGATGCTATTGAGTGAGCATGTGTACTGTGCAGCTATGGAATCCAAAGTGACTGACTAGAGCAATGGATCTGCACCAAATTTTGTGTTAAGTTTGAATATTCTTCAACAGAAACTATTAGGGTGACTCAGAAGGCTGCAGGTGGGCAACTGGTGACTGGTAACTTCATCATGACAACACATGCACTCATTCATCATGTATTGTGCAGAGTTTTATTTAATATATTTTATTAATTATGCCATTATAGTTGTTCTATTACCCCCTTCATTCCCCTCCACCCTGCACACAACCTCCCCCACCATTCCCCCCTTTAGTTTATGACCACGTGTCTCAAGTTCTTTAGATTCTTTATTTCCCATACTATTCTTGCCCTCCCCCCTATCTATTTTCTACCTACCATCTATACTACTTATTTTCTGTACCTTCTCCCCCCTTCTCCTTCTCCCACTCCCCTGTTGCTAACCCTCCATGTGATCTTCATTTCTATGGTTCTGCTCCTGATCTAGCTGTCCTTTTAGTTTACTTTTGTTTTAGGTGTGGTCATTAATAACTGTGAGTTTGCTGTCCTTTCACTGCTCATCTTTTTTATCTTCTTTTTCTTAGATAAATCCCTTTAACATTTCATATAATAAGGGCTTGGTGATGATGAGCTCCTTGAATTTGATCTTATCTGAGAAGCACTTTATCTGCCCTTCCATAAATGAAAGCTTTGCTGGATAGATCAATCTTGGTTGTAGGTCTTTGGATTTCATGACTTGGAATACTTCTTTCCAGCCCCTTCTTGTCTGTAAGGTCTCTTTTGAGAAATCTGCTGACAGTCTGATGGGAACTCCTTTGTAGGTGACTGTCCCCTTAGCTCTTGCTGCTTCTAGGATTCTCTCCTTCATTTTAATCTTGCCTAATATAATGATGATGTGCCTTGGTGTGTTCCTTCTTGGGTCCAACTTCTTTGGGACTCTCTGAGCTTCCTGGATTTCCTGGAAGTCTATTTCCTTTGCCAGATTGGAGAAGTTCTCCTTTATTATTTGTTCAAATAAGTTTCCCACTTGTGGCTGTTCCTCTTCCCCTTCTGGTACCCCTATAATTCGGATGTTGGAACATTTTAAGACATCCTGAAGGTTTCTAAGCCTCTCCTCATTTTTTTGAATTCTTGTTTCTTCATTCTTTTCTGTTCGGTCATTTTTTTATCCTCTTTCTGGTCCACTCCTTTGATTTGAGTCCCAGTTTCCTTTCCATTACTATTGGTTTCCTGTGCATTTCTCTTCATTTCAATTAGTTTAGCCTTCATATGTTCCTCTAATTTGTGACTCAAATCAACCAGTTCTGTGAGCATCCTGATCACCATTGTTTTGAACTGTGCATCTGAAAGTTTGGCTATTTCTTTGTCGCATAGAGTTATGGGCTCTGGGGCTTTGAGTTCTTCTTGAGCCATAATGTTTTGGCCTGTTCGTGCCTGTTATGTATGAGGAGCAGAGCCTTAGTTGTTCACCAGGACAGGGCCACCCATGTCGCTGGTTTGTGACACTGTATGTGGGGGTGGGGTCAGAGAGGGACAATAGTGGTCCCCTCTGCTGCTTCCTGCCACTGGGGCCTGCATGGTCTGTCTCACTGCTCGCTCCTTCACCAGTTTATCTGCACGTGAATGTGTGACCATGGTCAGCCCTCAGTGAGTCAAAAGCCTTGCACCCTCAGGGGGTCTGCCTGCTTCTCCACGCCTGGGATCCACCCACGGCTGCCTGCGAGCTGGAGTTGTGTGCCCGGGTTGGTCTGGTGGATCTTTTCCTGCCTGACCCCGCTCTGCTACTGGCTCTGCCCCTCTTACCAGTTTGGCTGAAGGGTTCCTTGTTGTCAGATTTCCGTATAGTTCAATTTTCTGTGGTTTGGCTCCGTTTTTGTTGTTATAACTTTGTTGTTTTTAAACTTGGTTGTGTGAGAAGGCACAGTGCTTCCACCTACGCCTCCATCTTGGCAGAAGTCCCCTTGCACAGAGTTTT